ATAAAAAATAAAAGTGTTATTCATTTTAACATGAGTGTACACATCATTATACACAGGAGCATATAAATTATTTTATATTTGTGACTTTTTGAATAGCAATAATGAGATCATTCCCATTTTCATTGTTCAAATAGTCAAAGAAATCCATACATTTCATTTTAAAATTACTTTTAATTTGAAGTTCACTTTCAAAAATTGTAATTAGAAGCCGGTTTCTCTCTTTGCGCCAGGAAACAAACTTTATTCTTAAGATCCTCTCATACTGTGAAAAAGTACAACTTTTTAAGGAGTTCAGCTATATTTCCTCATGGCTTAAATAATTTTTCAACTACGCAAAAACTAAGAAAGACCAACGGCTGGTTTCTCCAACTCAACTTTACTTAGTTTAGCCACTTTTCGGACTTAAGTCAAAAGTTAGCCAACGTTTTACACAGCTTATTCTTGACTAAGTCAAGAAAATTTGCTTACCTAAGTTAAGTTGAGTTGGAGAAACCAGCCCTAAGAATTCGCTCTTGTATGCAAAACTCTTTTACAAAGTCAGTAAATTGAGAAAAAGGAGTTGTAAGTTATATGCAAAAGCCATTCAAATATTGAAATTTATTGTTATTAAACTGAAAGTTATTTTCGAGATAACTAACAACACTCGACAAAAATTTAAGCCGTCTTTTTAAATAATTTAAGCTTCATCATATTATCGCAACTGGTACGTAACGACCCGGCGATATGCCCATAAAACGATTGATCTTTTTAACCGACTTCCAAAAAAGGAGGAGGTTATCAGTTCATCGGAATATTTTTTTTTTATATATATGTTACCGCATAACTTTAAACCACGTCAACCGATTTCGATAATTCTTTCTGCAACGGAAAGGTAGTGTCTCAGAGGTGGTCCTATACTAATTTGGTTTAAATCCGATCATTGAATCATGAACCGTAAGCGTTGGGCGCATGTAATAGGCCTGATTGGAAATTGAAGAGTAATATATGTATGTATGTGGGTATGTTAATAACGACCGCTTAAAATCGATCTCAAATTTGTACTTTCGCTGTAGAAATTTTAGGTCTATATTATGCATGTAGTTTGAATATTGTCAATTAAATCTAATGCTTTGTATTGCATGCGCTCCACGTTATTCGTTTTCAATGTCATAAATTGTTTATAATGACTTTTGCTAAAATTTCAAAATCAAAAGATATCAAAACAAATTCTATGGGACTGAGATATATTTATTATTATTACAACGCTTCTATCAACTTGCAATGTTGTATGTCCAGACCGCTTTGAATGTTGTATGTCCAGACCACCATTTATACTAGCTGCATTTCTTTGTAAGCGAGCGGCAAAAGAACGCTCAACTCGCGTAAAATTTCCTTTTAGCTACTTAAGCAACCCTGTTGGTAGCTGGCTAGAAAATGGGATTGGTTTAACGGGATTTAGATACAAAAACCAATTTAAATGAGTAATTGTGCGAGGTATTTGCGTAATATATATACTCTTTTAAAATATAAGTCACGTATAAATGGAAGCAAAAATTTTCCTCTCCACTTTCCCATTAACAATTCACAATAGAGCAGTTTTTTCACTTACCAACACTAGCCTTCAGGTCGCGTATTTATTAACCGACCTGGCTGAGCTCGGATAAATAGCCGAGTTTGTGTTGTTGCTTTGCGTGTATTTCGTCATTTAAGCGAGTGTTCTTTTGTAGCTCGGTTGCAATTAGAAAACTATAGATGTCGCCCCGCCAAAAGAAGTTAAATACTGCGCCTAAATATATGCACTATTTACATATACGTAATACTTCTATATTGATAGTAAGCTAACATCTCAATGTGTAAGCATTCCGAAATCAAAGCGAGACAGTCTAGTACTGTTTTTGTCAATGTATTGTGTACTTGAGTGCCGGTTTTGCACATGTGTTGTGTACATGTTTATTTATAAATGTGTGTGTTCCTTTTCTTTCGTACGTGTTTATTGATATATCTGTACTGTAGTGTTTTCGGACGGTACTAGCTCTTACTGCCAATATAGGAGTATTACATATATGACTATTTATATACGTCACAGCGGAAATGGACGACACGCCATTTCGTTAAATGAAATAAACTGCTGCTATATGTACGTATGTATGTTTATACTAAATGTGAGCAAACAACATTGTGCTTGCATAGTCTTCTGTTCTCTTTCACTGCAAGTTGAATTATTTTAATATCTATTGCACAACGCTTATATAAATGGACTAAAAAGTAGAAAATAATATTTCTCAGTCCCACAGAATTTGTTTTGATAACTTTTGATTTTGAAATTTTAGCAAAAGTAATTATAAACAATAAATGACATTGAAAATGAAAAGCGTGGGACGCATGTAATACACTTGAATTGATATGAAAAGTAACTAAGCTACAATTTTTCACAAGCCCGCGGTCACACTGTTACCGAGATACACATAAGTGAACCAAATAAAAAGTGGGACGCGACATTGGGTATTTTTACAACGCTTTTATCAACTTGCAATGTTGTATGTCCAGACCACCATACTATAAATATAGCAAAGGTATTTATGGCAAACCTAGTCTAGATATCAACCTCGTCGTAGGTATCATATCAAAGACATGCAGTTAGAAAAACTCTAGAGATAGATGTCGCCTCGCCAGAAGAAGTTAAAAATATGCACTACATACGCTACAGCGGAAATGGACGACACGCCATTTCTTTAAATGAAATTAATTGCTGCTATATGTATGTATGTACATATGTAGGCATATACTAAATTTGAGCAAACAA